ACACACACTGTGTTGGGGGAGTCTGCTGTCAGAGACTCCTCCACAGTGCTAAAGAACAATGATATCAGTTTAGCGATTAAAGTGTGCCTGATCCAGTCCACAGTCTTCACAATTACTTGCTATGTATCAGAGAGCTGGACAATGAATAAGGATGACAGAAGAATACATAGTCTAGGTCATGGTCTTCAAAATTACTTGCTATTACTCAATGTCTATGAGTTGTGGTGCTGGAGAAACATACTTAACATACAACAGACTGCCAAGTGAACAAACAGGTCTGTCTTGAAGAGGAAGAAATCAACTTTCTCCTTGGAGGCAAGGATTTTCAAGCTCCCTTTTATATACTTTTGATGCATGGCTAGGAAGGACCAGTCCTTGTAGAAGGACATCATGCTTGGAAGTGTGGAGGGACAGACAGCATTGGAGAGGTAGACCTCAGATGTGATGGATTAACACAGTAAGTGGGACAATGGGGGTAGGTGTGTTGGCGTCAATGAGACTCGCTCAGGATAAGGCAGGGTCCAGCTCTATTGTAGATAGGTTGGCTATGATTCACACCAGATTTGTTGGCATGTAACAACAACAATCTTTACAGCACTGCTCACCACCTGCTTCTTGCACTGTGCACTGAGTGCATTAAAACTGTTAGTAGTGTGTAAGCCATTTACTTTACCAAGGACTCTTCATCCCTAGGCTAAATATTGCTGTATAAACTTTAAGAAATAAAGATCATTTTATTTTTTTCCATTCCACCTGTAAGCACACACACACACACACACACACACAATCCGAGTCAGTCCCTTGAAAGAAAATGTCTAGAACATCATCATCTCAGACTTAGCCAAAGAAGTACATTGTACTTGGCTAATTCTAGCAGTTACCGGGCACTGTGCCACAAAACTAAGGAGATTCTGGGAGCCCCAGAATCATTCATAATATTCATAGTGAATGAAGTTACATCTTCTTTGCATTCCAGTGAACTGACCACTAAGTGTTCCCTTTGGCATCTTCTTTGACAATTAATGTCTTCATTGCATTCTCCTCAATTTTCCACAATAGAGCAGATAAGGGAAACATCACAAGAGAAAATTTCCTTGTGACTATAATTGGAGCATGATTATTCATTTATAATCTTTAAACATCTCTCTGGTTCTTGGGGATTTGGCAACATTCAAGAATGCCACACTTCCTAGAACATTATGGCACATGGTGCTAAGAAATCTTAGGAACAATAATCTAATTTTTCTCAAGAGTCATCTCAAGACTAGTCCTTTTATTTAATTTTAACAATAACTTAGGAAGGTCTTTGAGGAAATTTTACCAGGCTTGAGTAGGAAATATTCTATGCCACTATGTAGACTAAGGTGTGCCTGGTTCAGGCCATGGTCTTTGAAATTACTTGCTATGCATCAGAAAGTTGGAAAATGACTAATGATGACAGAAGAAGAGTCAATGACTTTGAGTTGTGGTCTGAAGAAGAATTCTGAACATAGCATAGACTGCCAGGAGAACAAACAGGTCTGTACGAGAGAGGGTGAAACCAAGTTTCTCTTTGGAGGCAAAGGATTTTGAAGCTCTGTCTCCCATACTTTGGGCACGTTGCCAGGAGGGACCAGTCCTTGGAGAAGGACATAACACTTGAAATGTGGAGAGACAGACAGCATAGGAAAGGAAGACTGAATGAGATGGAGTGACACAGTAACTAGGGTAATGGGGTAGGTGTATCAGAGTCAGTGAAACTGGCTCAGGATAGGGCAGGGTTCTAGCTATTGTATATTGGGGTCAGTATGAGTCACAGGTGACTAGCTGGCACATAACAACAACAACCTATGGCTGAGAGAGAGTTTCGGGTATAGGTATATTTAAAGCACTGTCAAAGTAAATTTTACCACAGTCTCGTTAAACCCCTGAGGATAAGTTTCAGTGGTGAGATGAATTTCCATCCTTTCTGAAAGATGCTGCTGGAAGAGGCATTTCCACAGCACACACTTTCCTTTTAGGAAAGTCTTGAGGAGACTTGCGGCTTTGTAAGCAGTCATTAGTGAGATTCCCCACTACAGTTCAAAACATCTGCCTAAGTACTGGTTTTGAAAGTGACACGTGCTTAAACATCAACATGAAAAGGTTATATAAAGCTACCAGAATCCTACATAGTTTAAGGAATATGCAAAAACATGATTATTCCTGCCCTCTACTTGACTAAATACTTCTACATTGCTTATAAAGCCTCTTGAAAAATCCCACCCATTAAATGAACATATATTATGTAGACTTTTCTTGAAAATACAATCTCATGTGGCATCGAAGCACACTCTTGATACATGTTTCAAGAACTACAGAAAGTGGGAAAAAAGAAGCCATCATCTCTTCTAACATGAATCATTAGGGAAACCTGTGGCTGTAAATTGTCATCTCATTTCTGGATTTTTTTTTCTCTCCAAAAGCAAACTCCATATTGGTTTAAAGAAGTGGATGCTGAAAGTAACACTATGTAATCATTCATTACATCTTCAAAGAGCACAGTTTGTCTGTGAATGAAAATTAACTTTGTTTTAGGTTATTAAGTTCTTTAATTACATGGCTAACAAGCCACATACATAACTATGATTTTCAATTCATCTTGACAAATACATACTTAGCTTAATGGCTTCTGTGATATACTGAGAAAGAAATTAGGCATCAAAGAATTCTAGAACCTTGAGAGGATGTGTGGGAATGAATACAAATATATAAAATTAAATAAATGCTTGGTTAGAAAGTTTTAGAAAGGAGTAACATTCGAAGACGATGTTTGAAGTGATAGCAGGTTATCCCACTGTGGCCTAGTGGCAAGAAGCTGCGCTGCAGTTCTGATGGTACAGGGTTAGAGGCCACCAGCTGCTCTGTGGGAGAAGGAAGGGTCATCTTCTCCCATTAACTGCTTCTGAAAACCCACCAGGAGGGTCAGCTATGGGTTGGTACACAATAACAACAAAAAAACTATACAGTAAATAGAAGGAGAATTGACACCTTTGAGCTGTGGCTCTGGAGAAGAGTATTGAGGGTACCATGGACTGCTAGGAAAACAAACAGATCCATCCTGGAGAGGGTTAAACCAGGCGGCTCCTTGGAGGCAAGGATTCTGAGGCTTTGTCTAACATACTTTGGACATGTTGTAAGGAGGGACTGGTCCTTGGAGAGGGACATCATACTTGGTAAGGTGGAAGGACAGTGCAGGAGGGGAAGACCCTCTATGAGGTGGATTGATTCAGTGACTGGGGTTATCGGGATGGGTGTATCGGAGACAGTGTGATTGGCACAGGACAGAGCAGAGTTCAGGGCTGTTGTACATAGGGTCGCTATGTGACTCAACTGCACATTACAACAACAACAATAAAAATGTAAAATAAGCTCAAATAATGAAAAGGACTAGAATTATACACTTGAGATTTTCTCATCAGATTGATGATACAGCAAATGGATGGGTTTGAGTGAAAGGATGGTTATTGTTTATGTTCTAGTACAAGGTTTCTAAGGTGTGGATTTAGTGAGGATGAAACAAAAATAAAGTGAATAACAATATATTTGATGGGAGTCTAGAAGATGGCAGGAGTACACAAGAATAAAGAACAGATTGAGTAATGATTGATTAGTCTGTGAAAGAAAGAGTATTCCTCAAATTAAAGACAAAAAGTAAGAGGGCCAGTAAATCACAGATATGTCAAATTGTTAGAGAAAACAGGGCAATTCAGAGGCTTTCTCAATCTCAGCTGAAAACAAACTAAAATCATATGCGGATGAGGATTTAGATCTGAGGTTTTAAGCAAAAAAGAAGGGTCTAATAACAAGTTTATTAAGTAAAACCAAAAGCCTTTCACAAGTTGGAAGGTTGATGTAGCCTAGAAAAGTAAAGGTATCCAGATTATAAATTGAGTTATAAAGGTGTTAATTTCTTAGTTCAGATTATATAGTTAATTGATGCTATATTTTGTCTACAGAAATATTTTATATGTATTTCTTAAACTAGTATAGGAATTACTCAGTTTCCTGAAGTGATGGTAATACAAGAAGAAAGAATATATTAATTTCTTTTCTTACAGTCTGCAAGCAAGTTAGGGATGTCTGAAATTGTAATCGCTCTCTGACCAGTAAACAATAAGCTTTCTGTAATGGTAGTTGTTAAAAGTTAATGCACATCTGAAATTCCTTGAGAGCTGGATTTCATACCCAGAAATCATGTAGACTAAACATTCTCATTTGTAAGAAATTTTCAAAAAAATGCTGATGTCACTGGTCTGGTAACTAAAATTTGAGAATCAGTGTTATAGCACACACCAAACAAGTCAGTCTGCATCATGTAGGCTATAAACAAGACTATCCTCACTCTATCTCTTATTCTGACAACCTAGGAACTGTGTATTACTAAAATAGTAGAACTGTTGCTATTGTTGTGTACCATCAAGACGCAACCCATAGCTGACCCTCTGGCAGGTTTTCTTAGGCAGTTAATGGCACGTGAGGAGACTGCCTATCCTTCTCCGTGAGACAGTAGCATTACCATATTTTTTAAAAAGCATAACCATCTATATTATGATTATTGTATTCTCTTCCAAGCATTATCTATATCATGTTTTCTGGCATTATCAGTGTCACTAGGAAATGGCCCTAGGGATTTATAAAGAAGTCAAAGAATTGATTTAATTTGAAAGAAACACTTATGAACAACTAAATAATTCTTTCTGTTCATTCTTTCAGCTCATGCCTCTTGTATTTTACTATAATATGTGTTTGGCAATGCTCTAGAGTTTTTCTTACATTCAATTCTCACAATAACTCTATAAAGCAATTCATTTTACTAACTTTACTAACAGACAGAGGCAATGAAGAAGAGAGGTTAAATAACTCATTGACAGACAGAAGTAAATTGGCTTTCCAGTACGAGTAGCATAACTACTATTTGACCTACACATATCTACTAAACATTAGAGACGTCTTCATACTTCATAGTTTAAAATACTTACCTGTTCCAAGAAACAGGACATGGTATCTACCATCAGCAGCATTGACTCGATCCACAGCGATCTTTGTGTATTTGTAGTCGGTACCAATGCGTACAATCAGTGGCCTTCTGTGGATTGGGTAGATGGAATTGTACATGAGAGGATGGTTCCGAATAAAAGTGACAACATCATCTGGGAACTCCTTTGTCGTTCGCATATTGGGTGTAAATGCTCCTCCTGGGCACTGAAAGTGTTAAGACAACAAATGAATGAATAAAAATGAATTCTTTTCTCCCTTGTAATACTCACACGTTTTAATTGCATTTGCAGTCTACTGAAAAGAAAATAACATAACTAATGATTTTGTTCTCTTAAATTTATAGGGTGCTCTTATTGGAAGCAGGATTGGTATCCACTTCCTAAACAACATGCGTCTGGAAACTCTA